TGGTACTCACTTTGCATTCCCAGTGCCTAACAGAACACCTAGCAACACAGCAGGTGCTTCAGGTCCTTTGTAAACTCAATGGCTGCACTAAAGAAAGGAAGGGAAAAGATAACTGGCAGGTATTAGTATTAAGATGATGAAAAAGAAGACTAGTGTATAAATTTTAAAATGACAAAATAGTACAGTTAATTAAGACACACTTGGTATTCTGCTGTAATATGCTAGCTAAGTGTCAAGATATATAGATGATTAAGTCACTGTCTGTACCTTTTAAGAGTCATGAGTTTTGGGACGAGCAGTAGGTGAAATGGCTGTCGCTGGACTCCCATGAAGCCAAATTAAAGTGAGCAAATGAAAGATAACGTAATACAAAAGTAGCCCCCAGCGAATTAAACCAGTTTTACAAGAATTGGTTGGGAAAAAAATTGTAGAGGGTGGAAAGATTTGGGTTCAGAAAAAGTATGTTGCTTGAATTATTCAGTTTTAAGATGATACAGATTTATATGAAGGTTTGTAATCAGTTGGTCAGGAGAGGTTAAAAATAAGAAAAAAAGAAAACAGATAAAAATAAGAAAAGAAAAAAAAAAAAAGAAAGAAAGAAAGACGGGTTAACTAAGAGACTAAGACAGGGGGAGACTAAGAAGATGAGTTCCAGGGCCCGGGTTGAGAAGTTTACCCAAAGCAGAAGGAACGTCGCACCCTCTGAAGAGAGAGGGAAGAAACAGAGTGGGTGGAACATAGTAGAGAAGCTAAAGTAGGTAACATCTGTCATCCTAAACTTTTGTAAAGCAGAAGGCAAAGCTTGTGGAAAGAGGAGCTCCAAGAGAATGGTAGGATTAGTCACTGAGGAGCTACCCAAGAAAAGGGAGCACGATTATTAGGTTGGCTTTGATGAGAGCTCAGCAGAGGCTGCAGCGCAAGATGATGCTGTTTTGTGAGCTGCGCTCAGCAGAGCAGAGAGTAGACAGTTCGGCTGACCCAGGGTCAGAGGGCAAGAGGGCAAGGAAATGAAAGAATGTGGGCAATACAGAGGTTTGAAGTGATAGATCATCGGGTCTGGACAGGAAAGAAGTAAAGAAAGAAGAAGGCTAACATAAAAGGAGAGAAAGGAGACAAAAAGGAACAGAAGGGCCTCAGTAGGTTAAAGAATAGGCTTAGTCTGAGTGAGACTGAAACAGCTGGAACACGGGCAATTGTGGTCAGGCTTCCCACTCTTGCAAGACTTTTTAACGTGGAGTTTTCATCCACTCTTTTGACTCCTCTTGAACCACAAACTCCTAGGCAAGAAGAAAGGCTGAATACTCTGCATTTATGACTACCAGATTACTACTGCAAGACCACACCTGAGTTAAATGAGATCTAGCATTATGCACTAGTCCTATAAATACTTGATGAAAGACCATGTGATCTCATCAACATATACTCCTGCAAACTTAAAACCCACCAAAGGCACAAACGATGTTACTATGACATACTTCCTTAAAAGACCCATACACAAGAGCAACCACGGCACACTTAGAAACTAACGGTAGTTTGTGTTTTAGAAGATTCAATATTGCTGAATATTTTAAATTAGTAAACACTATCTTAGTTTAATTTATGCTACTTGCCTTGTTCTTTGAAATCAGGAGACAAAAATAGTTGTACTCAAGAAAACATTGTAAAATTCTCTAGTTTAAAAATACAGTTTACAGACATAGTGATTTTTTAAGATGAACTTACCTAGATCTGGCCATGAATATTCTTAGCCTCTGCTGCTGCATCAGGAGTTTAATCATATTTCAAAATACCATGTTTCTTTTGTTTGCTGACTTAACCTAAAAATAGTAGGAAAAAAACTGAGAAGTTATTTCTGTTAAAATAATAACTTTCCCTGGGACCAGCAATTAGCATAATGGCTATGTTACTGGACTCCCATGTAGTCGACTGCGGTTTGAGTCCAGGACCCGGTAGCTTAAACTCATGCCGGGTGCATGTACATGCGTGCCCAAGATCCCGAGAGGAGAATGGAGGAGAAGGGATTGCGGTGTGGCCATCCCCCCCTGGGGGTGATTTCTCACTTTCAGTCTGTCTTTCTGGCGAGTGCATGTACCTATAGCAAAAACCTCTCAAAAAAAAAAAATAATAATAATAACAATAACAATTTTCCGGGGCCAGCAGTTGGCATGGTGGTTAAGAATACTGGATCCCACATGGCCGACTGTGGTTCAAGTCCTGGACCTGGTGGCTTGTTTCCCCCTACCCCTTACTCTGTCACTCTCTGGTCAAACATAAAGTAAATAAAGTTAAGTAAAATAATTCTTTAAAGGAATAATAATAATAAAAACAATTTTCCTTAGAAGCCTCTGGCAGCACTATTAGTTCAGTTAATCTATTTAAACAAACTCAAAAGAATTCATTTCTTTTTTTTTTTTTTTTTTGGAGAGATTTTTGCTATAGGGCGCGTGCGCTCGCCAGACAGACAGAGAGAGACATAGAGACAGGAAGCGAGAAATCACCCCCCAGGGGGGATGGTCACGCTGCAATCCCTTCTCCTCCATTCTCCTCTCGGGATCTTGGGCACACACGCACACACGCCCGGCGTGAGTTTTAAGCCACCGGGTCCAGGACGCGAACCACGATCGACTACGTGGGAGTCCAGCGACATAGCCATTACGCTAACTGCTGGTTCCCAAAAGAATTCATTTCTAAGATTGATTTGCCCCATTGGGAAGGTGAGGAATTTCTCCCTTTCTCTCTCTGGTGAGCACACACCCCCAATGGCAATGCATTCGGGGGGAATCTACCCTCTGTACCTGCCTATTTATTTCAAGAGACCCTCCCAGAAGCAATAGAGAAGTCAATGAGAAACAGATGGTATGACAAGCATGTCACAGAGTCACAAAATAGTGATATTATTGTGATAAATTACGATCCTAAATTACAGAGATTTCAATGTATTTTTAGAAAATTCCTAGTCAATTTATTTAGTCTTTACAACGTATTTTAAAAAATCAAATTGAAGGGACCAGCAGTTGGCGTAATGGCTATGTTGCTGGACTGCCATGTAGTCATCTGCGGTTCAAGTCTCGGACCTGGTGGCTTAAACTCACACCTGGTGCATGTGCACCCAAGATCCTGAGAGGAAAATGAAGGAGAAGGGATTATAGTGTGGCCATCCTCCCTGGGGACTGATTGCTCACTATCCATCTCTGTCTCTTTCTGTCTTTCTGGCGAGTGTACATGCCCTATAGCAAAAACCTCTCCCAAAATAAATAAACAAGTAAATCAAATTCAAACAAGGACAGTAATATTTACTGAATACCTATGACATGTCAAACATTTTATTAGGAATTATGAGAATAGTGTCACACATATCAACTAGACTTAACAAATACAATTGGAATTCAGAATGAATGTTTCCAAGACCATGTACCCACATGCAATCAAATATTTCAGGGCTGGACTTTGAATCTCCTACATACAGTATCAGCATACTAGGTGTTCGCTTCTGCCCCTTATAAACTACTGCTATAGCTCACTTGAAGGTGGGTAGCAAACTCTGAGCTTCTTCTTTAGACCTCTCCTTTTCTCCAGGAGTTCAAATATACAACATGCTTTATCTCTGGCTTGCAAAACTGCACAAGGCTGAGCAAATTCTATAATCCTTTCTCTCGCTCTCTCTCTTCTTTTTTCTTTCTTTCTTTTTTTTTTTTTTCCCATAAGCAAGAGATGAGGAGAGGGAAAGTAAGAATTCACCCCCAAGGGGGCATGGCCACATAGCAATCTCCATTTTCCTCCTGGGATTTGGGACAACTCAAACCGTGGTTGGTCATGTGGGAGTTCAGCACCTATAATCACCAGGCCACCTGCTAGTCACAATTATTTCTCTAGATGTAAATGAATACATATTCTCTTTGTCCATCCCTTCTTTCTTCTAAAAGATTTTAGCCAATCACCAAGAAAAATCTCTGTCCTCTTTCTTCATTCCATTTATAAGCATTCTCCAACCACCATTCTGTAACATGTTTAATCATATTGATAGTAAGTAAAATTAATGGTTACATCAATGGGCTCCCATGTAGTGGATGGCAGTTTGAGCCCGGGACCCAGCAGCTTAAAACTCACACTGGGCACATGTGCATGTTTGCACAAATGGAATGGAGGAATGGAAAAGGGACTGTGGCATGGTCATCATCCCTGGGGGGTTGATTTCTTGCTTTCTGCTTCTGTCTTTCCAGTAAGAACACATGCCCTATAGCAAAAAAATCTCTTTAAAAACAACAACAACAAAACTAAAAAGCAGTGGGGCCAGCAGGTGGCACAGTGTTTAAGGTGTTGGACTCCCACAGGGCCAACCTTAGTTCCTCGGCCTGCTTGGTGGCTTGCTTTCTCATTTTCTCTCTGTCTCTCTCTGGTCATATTAAATAATCATAACAACAACAAACAAATAATTCTGTAAAAAATAGTAAGTAAAACGAACAAAAATGAGAGTGATCCAGTTATACCTCAAAATCAATTTAAGACATGTTTTGGTGACCAGCAGGTGGCGTGGTGGTTAAGGTGCTAGACACTCCCACATGGCTGACCACGGTTCAAGTCCTGGACCTGGTAGCTTGCTTTCTCACTTTCTCTCTCTCTCTGGTCAAATTAAAATAAATGAATGAATAAATAAAATTAAATAAAATAAATCATTTTTTTTAAAAAACAGACATGTTTTGAAAGGAAGTTAAACACTTGAAAGAATTGAAATACCAACTCAAAAAAGATTTTTAAAAACCCATTTGACTCTGAGCATTTTTTTACCTCTTTTTGAGGATCAGTATTTATTCAGTTTTATTACTTTATAGATTATTAGCACTGTCCAAGTATTATTTGGTTTTACTGTTTTTCTGGCAAGTATTCAATGTTTCAGTTGTCTGACGGATTAAAATACTTTTTGTGTATTATTTTAAAAAAATCTTCCACAAGAAAACATTCTGCATTGCAGACAAATTATACCAAAGCACTCCTGGAACAAATATGACCCAATGGACTATGGGTGTCCTGCCTATGACTCTGAGATACAGAAGCCTCAGATACTCTCCTTGACTTAATTTCTCTCTGGAGCAAGAACCAAAAAGTAATTAGGGGGTATTAAGAGGGAAAAGACTGTTATAGCCACTATACGGAGGTATAATATTATTGCAACATGGATGCTTTTCTGTAAAATAGGCATGTATAATAGTATCAACTATTATGCTTACTAAAAAATAATACAACAATTTTATAAAGAAATTATCAAGAGGCTAAAAATTATGCTAAATAATGTTCACTACCACTTTATTTTTCTATAGCAAATAAGGGGATTTTAGGGACCAGCAGTCAGCATAATGGCTATGTCACTGGACTCCCATGTAGTCGACCGCAGTTTGAGTCCCGGACCTGGTGGCTTAATCTTGCACTGGGGGCATGTGCGTGTGCGTGCATGCCCAAGATCCCAAGAGGAGAATGGAGGAGAAGGGACTGTGGCGTGGCAATCCCCCCTGGGGGGTGATTTCTCACTTTCTGTCTCTGTCTCTCTCTGTCTTCCTGGTGAGTCCATGAGCCCTATAGCAAAAACCTCTCAAAAAAAAAAGGGGGGGTGGGTGGGTGGGTGGAATTTTGTTTGTGAAAAAAATTGAATTAAAGTACAAATTTATTTTGGTGCAAAAAAACCCTGAAATCTATACATAGTTTTTCCAAAATATGCATTTTTTCATGAAGAACTTGCTGAAGACCCTCATATGGCAGATATATAGTCATTTGGATTTTCTCATTTAATCCAAACAACCACTCTATGACACAGATACCTCAATTATTTCTATTTTCTAAATGAGGAAAGCAAAGCTTAAAAAAAGCAGCTTTTCTAAAGTCAATAATTGATCAGAGAAAGAACCAGACTTAAATACTGAGATAACTCCAAAGCGCAAACTCCTATGAATTAATACATATAAAAAGTTTTAAAACAGTGCCTCGCATGCAAAAATGTGTCATGACTTTTCCGACAATCCTATACACTCAGTAAAACTCAGCTACTGACATAAAATAATTTTTATTATAAAACAATGCTATATGTCTTCAACAGTCAGTCATCCTCTCTGTACTGAAATGTCCTCAGTTAGAAGATTAGGACACCTACTTCATAGATTAACTATAAAAACCAAATTGATTCTGAACATAAAGACTTTTTTTAAAAAGTATACAGTGTTTTAAAAGACAAAGGCATTATTATATCACCACTAAAGGTAAAATCCTGTCTTTGGTATCACAAAGAGCCTTTTGCACTGCAAGCAGAGAAGCCTAGAACTTAAGCACCATCCTTATAACAAGTGTTACATTAATAAATTTAGTAAAGCTGTCCTAAATTATTCCAATATGATTCTTGCAAAATGACAAGCAGAGAGAACACTGAACTCTATTCACAAGTGTGATTATAAATTTGGTGTTTAGGAAGGTATATTTGCTCTTTCAGTTCATGAGCACTAAGGGTGAATGTGGCTTATACTACAGTAGTTCTGTTCAAATACAGCCAGGACAAAATATCTATAGTTAGAAGGCCAGCAACAGAACTCTAAATTTTGGGCACAGCTAACTGCCATGTTTCATTACAGTAAAACAATAAAAAGAACGGCATTCAAAAACCGTGTCCTTTGCGTCAATGGCGTGGCTATTTTTTAAACCACTGGGTAGGTCTCTTTTTCCCTCCATGTATACACATTTGTTTTCTGTTTATTATTAACATTGGTAAGGATGTATTTATTACTTATATTATTCTCAGGAAGAAGAGTTTACAAAAAAAAAAAGCCGAGGAGTGCTG